CAATTTCTTGAGTGTTTGAATTCTTTCCAAAGAACCTTGAGTGTTGATACTCCTAGAATTCCAACATAGGGCCTTAATCATTATAAACCTTTGGATTTGGACCTTGTGATGGTCCTGCCAGAGTTTGTAGATGTACTGGTAGTTTGTTGCTTGGTTTGTCTACTTTGTTTCCTACCTCTTGGGGATAGACCTTGTTTTGCTGTAAGTTCATGAACTTCTTCAGGCCATTTATCCTTAAAGGTGGAACCGAAGGTATGAGGAGGCTGATTGTTGTTGTCTTCCTCTTCTTCATCAGATTCATCAATGGACTGATTATCAGAATCCAATTCATCTTCAGAATTCAAAGCCCCATAATCATCTTGAGGTGGCCTATAATGTCTACCCTTGTTGACATCCTGATCCTCTGTGTGTGGTCCCTTATCTGAAACCTGATCAGAATTCTGTCTCTTTTTTATACTATCTCTTCTTTTTTTACTCAACCTGCCTCCTGATTTATTATTGAACTTGTCTTTCTGTTGACCAGTATCAATGTCACCTTGCTGCCCAGTAGTTTTGTGAATTGAAATAGGGGTATTAAGGCCTCTATAGTCACTACTAAGATCAACGAAATCCTCATGTACAACATGAGGCAATTCCCCCCTCCCTTTTGGGCACCCCTTCTGCACATTAGTAGGTGTCTCATGTATCCTCCCAGCCATACCTCCAACAGCTTCCTCAACAACATTCTCAGTAACAACATTATCAAGGGCTTCAGGGGATGGGAGCATTCAGTCAATACATGTATCAGTATACCCTGTGAAATATTATTCCTCTTCCTTTGTGTTTGCCACTGATCATCTTGCTGGTTATACCTTTGTTCCATGCCTCTTTGCTGATTGTATGGCTGTTCATTAGTATCCTCCTTTGGACCAGTTTCGTTGTGACCTTAAGGATATTGAGGATTGTTGTCCATCTCTTTGGTATTTTTCTTTCTCACAGTGTCCATTTCCTTTTGGTTTTTATCCTCATCTTTTTGCCTTATGGTACAATCACTTTCCACATGTCCTTGATGCTTACAGTAAAAACAATAGTCAGGGATATTATCATACTCTATTTTTCTGCCATCTCCCATCAGTGATATCCTCCCCTATGTAACCCATCCAAATATAAGGAGGTCCCTTTTGAGTAAGATCAACTTGTACCTTCACTCTAGCTTGACTACCCCTAGTCATTTTAATAGATGCAGAATCTAAGTATAAAACCTTGCCAATAGGTGAAAGCAGGCCAGACACAAACTCCTTATTATAACAATGCCAAGGTTGTTCCGGCAGAGAGATCCAGATAGGGACTATAGGAGTTTCTTCAGCAAGTTTAAAAGTAGGAGTCCACACTTGAATTCTCATCACCTGTCCAGCTATACTCATTCTTTGCTTAGTCCAAACCATATTGTAATCAAGCTCATTATCAAGATCAATGTACACATGTCTAGAATTAAAATGAGCAATTTTAACTCCACCAGATAATTGAGTTTGCACTATGAAATTATTCCTAATAATCTCCACTTTAGACATGGTGTAACTAAACTTTCCAATGAGAGTATATTTGCAGGTTGCTGCTAAATCTTTCATCACCTCTTCTTTCACATACAAAACAGCAGGAAGACCTTGTTTAGTGGTAATTTCAGGAGCTGTCAAAGTAGTGGGAACATCACATTTGGCCTGATTATATCTAAGTCGGTCAGCATAAGTTTGCACTACTGTATAAGGGGCCGGTGCAGCCAATGGATCAGTTTTGGGAGGATTAGGAAGATTAACTTGAGGACGATCACTCCTAACATTATTCGTATTAGTTTTAGGAATCTGTTTCTCAAAATTACTAAAAGTTCTAGGATAATTATCCTGATAAACCTGTTGTTGATCAACTCTAATAGTAGACTTAACCGTATTACCTTGCCCCTGCTCTTTAGCAACCCAAATCTTCATTTGATCATTCTCATTTCTACGTTGCTCAGTACCAGAATTCAAATGGGCTTTAATTGCAAGAGTCACAGTTGAACGAGATTTATCAATAGGAATTATACCTGTGTCGTTGCCCTGTTTCTTGATGATTTTCTCATCTATATGAGAAATGCTAGATTGTCCGAATTCTTGAACATGTTGCTTTCCTTCCCTATGTTGAATTTGTGTCTATGAGAACACTCACCTCTCTTCTTTGTATTGGAAATTCGTCGCTGGAATTTCGACAGAATTGCCTGAAACCGCAATTTCACCATTGAATGTACTAGAAGCTTCAATGTTCTGATCACCATGACCTGTAGTACAATCCCCCATATCAGATTTATCGCGAATCACCTCAACAGTGCTTCGATTTTTGTGACGCTTTTGGGGCGAGTCACAGGAATTTCTTGCCACCGTCGCCGTCGCGGTGAAATCGTGGTATTTTTTACTCTTATGTATTTCAAGAGACCGGGAATCTTTTTCACCAGTCCTTTTTCCTCGATTTTGACTCGCATCTTCCATGGAAATATTTGTGTGCATTCCGTCCAACTCCCTTTCCGCCATTGCAGTATGGATCGCATCTTCTCTCATTTGCGAGGAGTAGTAGGTTGATTCTGAAGACGATTCTTGAAGCAGGGAAGAGATATTTGGCTTGTGCATCACTGTAGATGGATCTGGTGCCCTGAAACGATTAGCTGGCAACTCTCCTTCCATTTTATGGATGCTAAAAACGTTGTGAAATTAGCCAAGTTAGCTAATTCTTGAGAGAATTCTACAGAGAGAAAACTATTAGAGAGAGAAAAAATTTACAAAATGATGAGGCCAGGGTTTAGAGTTTAAGATTGAGGGTTTAAGGTTTAGGGTTTAGGGTTTAGGGTTTAAGGTTTTGGGTTTAGGGCTTAGGGCTTAGGGTTTAAGGTTTAAGGGTTTTGGGTTTAGGGTTTAAGGATTAGGGTTTAGGGTTTAGGGTTTAGGGTTTAGGGTTTACAGTTTGGATTTAGGGTTTATGGTTTAAGAGTTTAGGGTTCCAGGTTTAGGGTTTTGGGTTTAGGGTTAAGAATTTAGGGTTTCAGTTTTAAGGATTACGGTTTAGGGTTTAGGGTTTAGGGTTTAGGGTTCAGGGTATATAGTTTAGTGTATAGGATTTAGGGTATAGGTTTAGGGTTTAGAATTTGGATTTCGGGTTTAGGGTTTATAATTTGGATTTAGGGTTTAGGGTTTAAGATTTAGGGTTTGGTGTTTAGGGTTTAGGGTATAGTGTTTTGGGTTTAGGGTTTAGGGTTTAGGGTTTAGGGATTAGGGTTTAGGGTTTAGTGTTTATGGTTTAGTGTTTATGGTTCAGAGTATATGGTTTAGAGTTTTGAGTTTAGGGTTTAGGCTGTAGAGTTTAGGATTTAAGGTTTAGGGTTAAGGGTTTAGGGTTTAAGATAGAGGGTTTAGGGTTTAGGGTTTAGGATTTGGGATTTAGGGTTTAGGTTTTAGAGATTTGGGTTTAGGGTTTACGTTTTAGGTTTTAGGGTTTATGGTTTAGGATTTAGGGTTTAGAGTTTAGGGTTTAGGATTTAGGGTTTAGGGTTTATGGTTTATAGTTTAGGGTTAGGATTTAGGATTTTGAGTTTTGGATATAGGGTTGGTTTTAGGGTTTCGGTTTAGGGTTTAGTGTTTTGGGTTTAGGGTTTAGGGTTTATGGTTAGGGTTAAGGGTTTAGGGTTTTGAGTTTAGGATTTAGGGTTTAGGGTTTAAG